CATGTTCAAATTTATAAATTTTAAGTATTAAAATAATTATTCTCCTATTAATATTATATTTTTATAAATTTTTTGAGATTCAAATAATATTTTGATATAAACATGGATTTGATATATTATTTATTTCTGTTATTTTATAAAATACTGATTTTAAACATTACTTTTTAATTTTTAGTTGGAGTTACCTGTAATATGTATTATTTATTTGAATTGCATTCATGTAATAAACAAATAAAAATTATATTCATTTACTCGTAAACACAAGAGGAGGAGTAGCGTGTTGGTTTATAGGCGTAGACGTTAAGCTCTCCCAACTCTTGACGCGAGTTCGACTCCCTCCAACTTTCTTTTTTTAGAAGAGTATGCGCATTCGCGTCTCGCGGGCGGTATATTGTTCTATATCGGTCCGTATCGATATGTATCAGCCGATACAATGCGATAAGGACCAATACACACCCGTATCGGTGAGATATGCACGAATGGCACGACACATATCCAGTCGTAGCGTATCCCGTGCCAGACATTAACGATACCAATACGACACGCCCCGTATCGGATGTATCGTATCGATATTTCAATCCTTGGTATCGGTTACCCGGGGTAGGGGTGACCAATCGGTTTATTCGGTTAAAAAACGAAACGAATAAACTGAATTTTTTTTAACCCAATTTTGAAATGTAAAACTGAAACCGAAATTTTTGGTTCAGTTTTCCGTTAAAACCGAATTTATTTAATATATTATTATATAAACTATAAATTATAAAATATATATAATATTATATGTTCTAATATATAATATAATATAATATATTATAGATATTCTATATGATACATAATTGTCAAGGCGACGCCTAGGCGACAAGGCGCCCTTTGAGGCTCGCCTCGCCTAATCGCCAAGCAGTTTTCTACTTCCTACTATAAAATACTTTTTTATTCATTCTTTTTTGAGATTATAATTAAAAAATAGACATTATTAAACTAAAATGATCATTTTGTGTGTTTATATACTAATTTCTTTTTATTATTTTCTTATATATTAGGGTTTAATCAACACAAACATTGCTAAATGCTGTATTGAACCCTCAAATACTTAAAAACCTGAACTAATAAGTAAGGAAGAACTTAAAATTTTATCTAATCAACACAAGTGAAGGACTATTTCTTCCTCCTGGTTGCATAAGAAACAACAGCTTGCTAACTATAAACCTCTGAACTTCAGGTGGTCGGAAGTAAGGATACTATCACACGCCACCAGCCATGAAAAGGTTTCTACCCTTGGGGGTACTAGGTTACCCCACACTCATTTTATCTGGTCTGACTCCATTCCATCTCTCATTAATGCCTTGTAAAAGGATTTAACTAAGAAACTTCCTTCTCTGCATTCTTTCCACCATAGGCCATCTTCTGTGGATCTGGGAATGTCGGTAGCTTCCAACTTTTCCAACAGCAGAATACACTCTTCCACTTCTTGGTCCAGTAAAGGTCTTCTGAATTTTGGGTTCCAAATCAATTGCTCCCCTCTCCACTCATAACACCGATCAATAGAGACTTGCTGTTCTGTCAGCTTGTATAGTCTGAGGCACACCTCACAAGTTTCCCTACCCCAAGCCGCTCAACACTCATCTTCCCAAAACCTTACCCTAGAGCCCTCCCCCACTTTAAACTTTACCAGACTTCTAACGTCTTGATTAAAACTCATGATTCCCTTCCAAACACTTATCGCATAAGAACTTCTTACTTCCCTTGATTCCCACCCGAATCTCACCACTCCATATTTTCCAACCACCACCCTCATCCATAAAGCCTCCCTCTCTCTCTCTCTCTCTCTTGCCCAAATCTCCACAACCATTTCCCTTATAGTGCTTTGTTGAAGAGCTTCACCCTTCTCAGCCCTAACCCTCCCCCCTCCTTTGAGCTACATACCTTCTCCCACTTGACCAAATGAAATTTTTTGGACCCCCACCCCCTTCCCATAGAAAGTCCTTTTGAATTTTCTCAATTTTTGGACAGACCAAGGTTTTCCAACAATTTTAATACAAAGTCTCTCCATTTGATCTTAGAGACAAAATATTGGACTTGAACAAGCCAGACAATTATATGGGTGCTCAGTGTGGAGAGGAATTAGGAAGGCTTACCCCTATATTTTAAAAATAAACTATAAAAAATATGAAATAGATAATGGAAAAATGGTCAGTTTTTGGATAGACCCTTGGTGCACAAATAGATCTTTGTGATGCAAAAGTTGCTAATTACCTTGATTGTTTCCAAACTTTGACATTGTGTGGAACCCCAGATTTAGAATTCTTAATGATTGTAGGCTTGATTCAGTGGAGGAGCTTGTTTGTTACTTCATAATCAGCATGTTGCCCATCTTCATAATGATACAAGAACTTAGCATCAATAACACCAATATCTACCAAATGCAGTTATTGTATGTGCCTAACAGGAAAAATACCATTACAGAGCTTGGGCATGAACTTGGAATTTGGTATCAATAACAGGACTGAATGACTTAAAGTTAGTTTTCTGATCAACAGAACAAGTTAGTTGAAGTCCAAAATTTAGAATAGGTTTGCCTGCTGCATGAAAGGCATGACAGACATTAGGCAGCAAACTTCCAAAGAAACACATAGCTATGGCCAAATCATTTTGCCATTTCATCATGAAAGTTAACCAGCATCTAAGGCATTATCTTGGGATAAGAGCTTATGAATTAGTAGATCAGAAAACAGTGTCAACAAGTTATGTATAATACCTCTTATTATTTGTTTGTTTATTGATTTATATTGGTGAGGGGAGTTCATGGTTGGATAAAAGGTCTAAACTGATTGAAGTATAGGACCATGCCAAAGTACCAGCAGTGGGTTGGTAAGGTCTCCTGCTGGTAGTAGTGGAGACTTGGGGTCGAATCCCACCTGCACATGGGTTGGGGGATGGGCTACCCCCCCCCCCGGGGTTGTGTAGCCCTTCAAAAATATATAAAAAAATAATAAGAACAGCTTATTTACAGATGGAATTACAGCAATAATATGTGCACCGACTTCAAATATATGAATAGAAAGATATATTTCATTGAACATTGTATCAATGGCCTGATACAGATTAAGAGAAGTTATTTCATGCATTCAGATTGTTTTTGACAATCAATCATTCATTGCCTATTTGAGGTAATTGGAAACCAGGCCCTCTCACCATTTTATCAGTGCAATGTCCATTTGTCACATTGCATCGACCTCCACCGGAAATTTTTACCTACAAATCAGTAGAAATTCTAATGAACAGATGGAAAGGGATACAAACACAGAAAACACGCTATGCATAGACTGAACCTGCCATAAATTACTAAAAAGAGCATAGCATGAACTGCAGGATAAACAATTTAAATCCAGACTACACTTTTGGTTAACAAGGGCATAAATGGTTCGGTCGAACGGTTAGGATCATCCAAATGACTTGTATCTGGCCGTAGTAGATCTCCTAGTTCACTAGTTGGATCCACTAAATGGAGAATTGATCCCGCCATCCATGCACATGTGTCATTTTGCTTGCTTTTGCGACGAGTTTACTTCCCCTTAGATTCTGCTGAAACACAATTCATGCAATGCAACTATACAAGTTGGAAATAAACCAACCTTTGATAAAGGCTTCCCTTTCTCAATGACCAAGACACCCAAATCGGGTGCTACCGTTTTAGCTCTAATGGCACCATAAATTCCAGCAGCACCACCCCCAACCACCACCAAAAGCGGTTCATTTGCCTACTATAAGAAAAACAAGAAGATACGCTTTTGATCAAGCCAGAGCGTAATAAAAATTATAAAATAATAAATGAGGCCCGAGAGAGAGAGAATTTGAGGCAATATAGAGACAGAATGAGGGTTTATTTCGAAAAGAAAAAAAGTATAACCTGTTGAGCTCTCGAGATGCTTGATGCAGTAAACCTTCTCCTCCTGCCAAGCAAGAGAAAGCCATCAAAGTTTCTACTGATAATAGCAGTCTCCAGAGGAAACCGAGATAGGAGGAAGAAGGGAGCAAATGTGAAGCTCATCAGTTCATTCTCCAAACTACTGAGTACTGAATAGATGGAGATATTTGTTTCTACCAAAAAACCAGAGAGATATTTGATATTTCTACCCCCCCAAAAAAAAAAAAAAAAAAAGCAGATAGCGGACTGACGGACTGTGAAGTGGAAGAAAAAGAATAGGGATTTATTTGTTAAAATGAATGTTTTTAGGCCCTTTATAAAATAATGTAAAATGTTTAGAACTTATGTCCTCTAATTATCTCATCATCTGTCCATCATCTCAATGATCTCATCTCCTCGTTATCAGAAGAAAAAAACAAAAGCAGAGCAGCAGTAATAACAAACAGCAACCAATTCCACCATCTCATCCTTGTAAGAGATTGCATGAACATGTCTCAGCTCAAACAAATTCACGTTCAGACACTACGTACTGTATCGGCCCATCATCGAGAGACCCTCTTCTTGGTCCTTATACAGTCGAAAATTGCATTTCTTGGCTTTCTCTGGTCTTGATTAAGCATCTGGTCTTCTTGACCATATTTAGACCCCCAATTCATTCGTATGGGAAACCGTTATCAAGGCTTACGCGTGGAGCGTCAACCATAACGATAAGTACATTTTACTCTATAGCAAAATGTTGAAGGAAGATAGTGTTTCACAAGTCAAACAATCCTTCCCATTTGTTCTCAAGGCCTGCACATTCTTGTTGGCCATCTACGAAGTCAAACAGATACACGTCTTGATTGTAAAACTTGACTTCGCCCCTCCTACTTATGCTAGTAATAGTCCCATCCGCTTTTATGCATCCTGTGGATTTTTGGATCTGGCTGTGAAGGTGTTCGAAAATAGAAGTTTGGTCTCCTCATCCTGGAATTCAGTGTGGTGACTTTATCACTGCATTACAGCTATGTGAAGATGTAGCTAAGCAGTTGCTTGAATCAGATGGTGATTACCTTTTAACAGAAAAAAAAAWATATATATATATATAGGGATAGTAATACTAAGACCATGTTTGGGGGTACTTAAGTTAAAAATAAGTGTTTATTAGATAAATGCTTAGATATAAGTTATATATATATATATATATATATATATATATATATATATATATACTTTTAAAGTGGGTTCATTGGCCTGGGATTGGGTTGGGAAGACCGAGCTTCATCTTAGGCTCGATTCGGGCTCAGGCCTTAAGCCTAAATTTTAGGGTTGGGCTTGGGTTGACCATAAACCCAGTCCAACCCGTTCGGCTTGCATCCCTACAGCTCAATTTGGAAATAGTACAAATATAAATATATATAATGCAAATACATACAAAATACATGGTTTGTACTCTACAAATTTGTATTTGTACTCCTTCCAAACTAAGCCTACCTATAAACAACATCCCCTCCGCAAATTGGGGATCTTTCCCTCCCTTGACATTTACCCAAACTATACGATTGCATTATGAATTATGAGGTAGATTAAACTCAAATTATCCCATAATTATTTTGCTTGGGTATACCCATCTTATAAAAGGGTAAGTAACTTTTCCACTTGGGGACAAAACTACCCATTTTATTAATGCCTTTTTTATGGCTAAAAAGATAATGTTCTTATTTACCTTAGAAATAAAAAGATATATGGGTAAATGCCATGGTTTTCAAAACCGGACCAGACCAGAAAAACCAGGAATCGGTTAAGTGATTGGTTCCATTTTTCCCCAAAACCGGATTTTTGCCAAAAATATGTTTATATGGTTAGCAAACCATTGACTCGGGCGTTCGAATTATTCAAACCATTCAATGATTTTGAGCCTTTTTTTTATTTTGTTATTAGAACAGGTCGTTTGTTCAGTTCAAATGATTGGACTATTCAACCTAGGAACCAGACTCCTGACTGGTTTGTTGTCCGATTTAATTTTAAAAACCTTGGTAAATGCACTTACTTGTAACTTTCCAAATGAGTGAATGGTCAAAATTTGATGTTTTATGAACTAACAACAATAGTACCCAATATTATATTGATAACTTAAAAGCATTTAAGCATCTATGGTAGGAAAAATATTATACTCATAAAATTTATATTTACCAACCTCAAATGTTGCTAAGAATAAGTGATAATAGTACCAAATACAGCGGAAATGATTTATCTTAACTGTTCCCATAATTATTGTTTTGTACGTCAAATTTATGGCTAAAGCACTCGCCATTAGTCCATAAACCTAGAATGACATAAAATTGTGTTTGTTAAAAATTTTGAAAGCCGGAATTATACTTAGGGTATGTCCATTTGTTATGAAATCTAATATATGAAAGTGCAATAATTACATTAAGAGGTATTGGTGAATTTTTCTTTCCTCTCGACTTTAAATGCAGAGAATGTTGTTTTGAATTTTGAATTATGAAAATTATCAAATATCCATTTTGACCCCATATATGAGAGTTTTTGTTTATTTTTTTGGGGGTATCATTGAAAAACAAAAAATCCTATGATTGCACTTTAAAACATAAAAGATAAGAATAAATTAACAAACATTTTTTCTCTTAAAATTAAAAATTTCCTCTTAACAAATAAGAGTTAAGAGGTTATATGTTAAGAGAAAACAAACCCTTAAAAAAATGTAAAATCAACTTTTCAATTAAGCTTTCTCACGTAGCTTATCGGAAGCCGCTCTATCAAGGCAAATCAACCAACACATAAGCCAATAAGCCATCCCAAACAGCTTCTCAACCTTCACCCAAGGTACATGCCTCCTTTAAATTCACGTAGATTTTATATTTTTTCTTARTCAATAAGAACGTGGGTTTTCTTATTGGTTAATTTTTTTTTGGAAGACATGATACCGGAAGATTCTAGGGAGAATGACCAATCAGCCCAGATCAGAAATGTATAGTCCCAAAATAGAAGGAAAATGCATCATGACCGTATGTGGTTTATAAGGGGGCTGGAATTATGCATCGTGTGTATCCATAAAGATTCTATTAATTGCATAAGAGTAAAATGACGCTATCACGCTATCAAGGCCATGGTAATTTCCGCACAAGATTTTTGGAGAATGACCAATCAGTCCAGATCAAAATTTTATAGTCACATAGTACAGGAGACTGCATCTGACCGTAAATTGATGTCTAACTTAGTGGCAGGATGTAATTTATAGGGAGGAAAAGGGCTAATAATAGGGGGCTGGAATTCAGAATTCTGCATCGGGTGTATCGTACTACTCCGCGTTTTAATTGCAGCCATCTATTAATCTGTTACTTTCATGCTTCCATGAAATTGTAGCCACGGATTTCATCATCATCAAACCAGAAAAGCTTGAATCAATTCATGTGGAGATCCGACGTCCAACAGAGCGTTTTCTTATGGTTTTTAGTGGATCCACGCCTACTGCATAGACGCGATAGAGGATCGCATGGGTCCCGTTGCCACCACTAATTCAACGCCGAATGTCCTGGCCATAAAAATCAATCGCCTTTATCTGGAGTTCGCATTTGCGCCGCACGGGCGCCTCACACAGAACATCCGAACCGTATATTAGGAATATCTCCCAATAACAGCAGGAGAAAAGCGAGCTGCCCAAAGAGTAAAGAGCCAACGAAAGAGTTAAATGATAAATAACAGCAAGCTTGAGCAACAAGAAACATTTCTCTGGCTACGGCCTACGGGGTGGGTGGTAAACATTGAGATTATTATCTAGTGCGATAGGTCCTATAGGATTTAAATATCTACCACTAGAATAACGCCATCCCCACCGTTGTTGTATGCATTGATGAATCATGAAGATGCAGCCCAACCGTGTGTCGTTCGGCTCATATGCACACTGGCCCCTGTAGGCCTTTACAGACATGTCAAAACATAGGCTCCGAGGAGGAGGAACTAGCCAACGCCAACGGCGGGAGTAGAAAAGGAAAAAGTAGGGTGAAAGGGAGATTTTTGAGTCACAGAGCCGCCCCAAGTTGTCTGGAACTGACGGTGGAGAAGGGGTAGAGTCGGCTCCCCTTCTATTTCTTTGTATCTTCATTGCTTCTCCCCTTTTCCTCTCTCCGTGCTACGCATGTATCCAGAGGCCATCTTAAGGTAGCTTCCCTCTCCCTATCTGGGTCTGTTTGCATCTGGGCTATTTTCTTGTTTGAATACCGTTGGTTGCTTTGCTCAATTTGGATGTTATTCCTTGAATATATTCTTTTTTTTTTCTCAGCTCCAGTTATTTCAGAACATGAATATTCCAAATTACGCTATTTAGGATAGAAACAGAAAAGCCTCTGTTTCTATCCCTGTAAAAAAATAGAAGAGTTAAACAAAATGCGCAAATTTTCGCAACTGTGTCTTTTTGTTATGATTTTCTATGATTAATCCAAACAGGGTATTTTTTTTTTAATTGCGTTTGTTATGCTGTTAGCTTAAGTTTAAGCCTTTTGCAATCTTCTGCAACATAATCTCTTAATTAATACTGAAAAGAAGTCAATTTATCTACTTCATCAACTTGTGTGATGTGTACTTAATATGTATTTCATTGTATATTGAAATGGAAAAGGTAGTGCCTTTTAAAGCTTAAATCCTCTATACTGATTGCTATTTGCATTATAGTATTTCACATTTGATGCACAGAAAATATAAAAATTTCAGTATCCCTTAACGCCTCCAGTCATGGTAGAATCCCACAAGCATAGATTGGTACGCAGTTAATTATATTCCTCCGTAGGTATCTCTGCTTCCCATAGTTTTAAATAGCTTTCTAATGCTTAAATTCTTAATTTAGCTTTTTTTTTTTTTT